TCCTGCAACGGGGCTTCTGGGTGGGGAGTTGGCATTTCCTTTGCCTTGCCAAAACCCTGTTCCCTCATCTCACCCAACCCCATCCCCCCACTGCTCCCCTGCCTCGAGGTCTCCATGGGCGTGAACCCAGGTGGTCCCCGTTTGAGGTTTAGGCCCGAGGTGGCACTGGGACGCTATCACTCGGTGGCAGTGATGTCTCCTGCCAGGAGCTGTGCGGGCGTGGGGAGCTGCCCCGGAGTGGGGCACGGTGGCAGGGGTCCCCACCTCTGTTGCCGAGGAGGTTTTGAGGGAGGGTTGGTTACCAAAGTGCAGGATCTATCCCGGCCGGCCGGGGTTCACGGGGGTAGCCAAGGAGACCCCTCACCTCCCAGGCTGGTGCCCCTCCCTTCAGTTCTGCCTCCCAGCACTTGCCAGGGACCAGGCAAGGGGCGGGGAGGTCCAAAAGTGTTATTTTCTACCCTCCAGGGGAATCCCTGCTGTGCCCCCCCACCCCGACCCCAGGGCCTTTATATAATTTTCCAAATATGAAAGCCCTAAGGCTAGGCCAAGTCTCTGCTTTTTACTTAAAATCTGCATCCCATTTTGGGAGAGCTGTTTGGGAAAGGGGAAGGGAAGGGGGTTCCACGTTGACACCAGGGTACATGCACACACAGTGCTCACGGTCACTTGCTCCCCGCAGCTCCTTTGCCCTCACTCAGGCCCTTGCACCTCATCCTCACCCATGCCTGCACCAGCTGCCCCCACCCCGACGCAGCCCCTCCCCGCACACTCCTGTGCAGTCACCCGGAGGCCGCGGCTGCCCTATACCACACTTGCCTCCATCCCCACTTGTCTCCAGGTGGCCAGGGGTACACAATCAGGCATATACCTTGGTGTAGTCACACGCATACACCCATGAAACACCCTCAAGAAGCACCTGGTCACGGCCACACATGTACATAAGTAGAGGTGCATACACAACGACATGGACCTACACTGACACACACAGACACAAGTGCACACACAGACACGCTGCGGGGAGAGCGAGGACCCCAGCTGTGAGGGGGGTAGGTGGGAACTGCCAGGAGGGAGGAATAGGGATGTGTGCTGTGTGTCATTCATTGTGTGCGTGTGTGTACATGTGCCTGTGTATGAATACTAGATTCTGTTGTGGGTGTGTGTGCTGTTGATAAGCATGTGTCGTTGTGTTTGGGCATGACTGTGTGATTATGGGTGAGTGTACATGTGTTTGGGGTTGTGTGTACACTTGTATGGGTCTATGTGTCAGTGTGTGGGTCTGGGTGTGTCTGTGGGCTGTCTTCATGTGCATCTCTCTCGTGTCACTCTCTGTATCATGTTGACTCTGTATCTGAGTCTGTGAAAATCTGTGTGCGGCATGTTTGTGTGTGTCTGTGTGCATCTGACCCTGTGTTGTGTCTCTGTGTACGTGTGTTTACCTGTGATTGTGCCAGCCCTAGTGTCATGTCCCACTTTTACTTCTCATGACCAAGGATCCAAACGTCCCCTTCTAGAGCCTCAGTTTCTCATCTGCAAAATGGAAACAGACAGGACCCTCCCTCAAGTGCAAAGGAGGAGCAGCACGGTCAGGACCAAGCGCTCACAAGGCCTGGCCCCGTGCTGTGTCCTCGGTTCCCTGGGCGGGGCCGCTGTGGTGCTACTGTTTGGGCTCCCAGTACTCGGGCTCCTGTCATCCTTGCCTGAGCTACTCTGAATGCCACTCACTTTTTCAAAGTTCACTATTTAATTACACAAGCCACTCATGAACATCTAAAGAGAGTACAAAAGTAAAAATGGAATCTTCCTCATCACCCCTACCCCGGTGGGACTCCCATCCAAGGGGCCCTGTTGTTATCCAGCTTTGTCTTATTAGCAGTTGCAGGTAGGATAGATACACATTCTTGAAAAGGACACACGCATATTCTTAAAAATGACACATGTATTCTTATAAAGGGTGGTTTAAATCTCATAAGTGATACATGATTTTTTTTTTAAAATCTCAAGTGCAATCTTGAGTCTTCTGAGTGTACAGCAGGGGTTCTAATCAGGGGTAGTCCTGCCCCCAGGGGACCCTGGGCAATGTCTGGGGACATTTGTGACTGTCACAACTGGGGGTGTTCCTGGCATGCAGTGGGAGGAGGACCCTGATACAGACCTCACTTTCCACAGCATGTCTCTTGGAGATGTCTCCACGCAGAAGCCCCTCGTTCTTTTATGGAGCTGCGTAGTATTCCAGCCTGTGCCCACAGCCATAATGTCAAACTGGCCCCATGCAAATGGACACATGGTAGCTGGCTCCAAATTGTCAGCATTAGTGTTACAGAGTTGCTGTCAACACCACTGTGCATCTGTATCTGGGACAGTTACAGAGAAGCCTTAGAGTGAATTCTAGGGGGAGTGCATTTCATTTTGTAATGAATGAGCTAAATTGTGTGCCAAAATGCCAGGAGCTAAATCATGCACCCCTTTTCTGGGCCCTTCCACACACAGGTCCAAATCCATCAGTTGTCTTGTTAAGAGACCGCTCATTACAGGCACTGTTCTAACCCCTGTCCATGCTCTCGCTGATTTATTTTACCCACAACCCAGGGGATAGGAACTGTCTTTGATCACCCCATTTCACAGAAGGGGAGGCTGAGACACAGAGAAGTTAAGCTGCAGGCTGCAGGAGATATAGATTCAGGTGCAGCCCTGCAGCCCAGCAGGCCTGCTGTGGTCCTACTGTGTGCACTGCAGGGGCCTCTCCTACCTGAACTGTGGGGTGGGCAAAAGTAGGTTTACAGTTGTGAGTACAAGAAACACAGGTTATTCTTGTGTTATTTATTAACTATTGTATTATAGCTGTAAGACTACTTTCGTCCACTCCTGTATATAGATATTTATATATGATTGCCGTTAGTGAACTTGCAGAAAGTTCTACCATGTGCTACAACAAATGATATTAACACAGTCCTCACACACATTACCTCAAGGACTCCAATCTCTCCAACCTTCCAAGTTGAGTCCTAATGTTGCCATTTCACGGATGTGGAAACTGAGTTCCAAGAGGTGCAGTCTGTGCTTTCCAGACTTGACCTTAGAAAGGAATCTCAGCTGCTACCTGAAGGTTGCAGGAAGGGCGGGGGTGGAGGGGCAATCTGAGGAGAATGCTCAGAAATACACTTTAACTTTTAATGTCTGTGAATTGGGGATTCTGCCATCTGCGTGTTCCTGGCATTTTCTTAAATGATAAAATATTGCTTTATGTTAGATTGATGTTTGGGTTCCTAGACACCTGCCTCCCCCTTTCATCTTGGGGTTTGAAATGCCCTCCACAGCTGCACAATGGGGGGTTTAAAAAACATTTTCAAAGTGCTCATGATGTGCTAAGTGCTGCCTGAGTAACTGTCAGCGGCAGGCAGCGAGGAGCACTCCGGACCACTGACACTATTGCGGATGAATCCTGCACCCTCCTGGTCTAGCCCCGCACGCTGGGCAAGTGGCCTTGCTCTGTGGGCCTCAGTTTTCTCCCCTGTAATAGAGTGAAATAACAGGGCTGCTGGCTACTTCACTTTCACACTCTGGGCATGGGGCAGCTGCCCTACGTTAGTAACGGTGTCATTGGCCTCCGGATGTTCAGAAAAACTAGTGAAAATGGCCAAGCTTTCTAAAAAGGTCTTGGGGCACATTGGATAGGAAGTAAAGGCTCTGCTAGGAAACATTGTCCTTATGCAAACTGACCCTATAGGGTGGGCACTGCTAGGCCACTTTACAGAGTAGGACACCAAGGGATGGAAGAAAGCGTCCACACACCCCCGCCCCCCCTGCAAGGTGGGAAGGAGAGCTTAGGCAGCCTCTGAGCCAGGAGGTGGGGATTGAGGGAGTGAACCTGGGAGGAGGAGAGTTAAGGCCAGGGATTGAGGCCAAGGTCATCAGGCACCCTGGGGGCTTAGACTGGGGGAAGAGTGGGTCTGTGCTTAATTATTCTCGAGGGAGAACAATGGAGCTTGAAGAGTGTGGGCTACTGGGCCAGACAGCCTGGCTCCAAGCCATTCACTGTGCCTCAGTTTCCAGATCTGTGAAATGGGCACATGACTGGGGTTGATAGGAATCAGTGGACAACCAGGAAGAGGCTGCAAGGGTTTATGTGGGCAGCCTGAGGTTCTGCCTGGGCATCTTCCTCTTGGGGGTCTGAGGAGACATATGGGAGAGGCCAAAGCCATCCCCTCCCCAGGTCCCCTTTGGTGATGATGAACGAAGAAAGAGCAGAGTCTTGGACGCTCCTGGGTTAGCTGGGGTCCCTTTGGCCATTGGGGGTGCAGTTGTAGCCAAGCCCCTCTGCCCGGGCACTGCAGTCCCAGTCTGGTTCTCCGGGACCAGGGAGGAAGGGGTGCAGGAGACCCTTCTCCTGCCATGCACCCCGGGACGTACATCTTTAAGGGCTTTCCGCGCTCTGCGCGGCCTCTGCACACGTCACTGCTTCATTCTCCACCCCCCCCCCACCCCCTTGGCTCGTTTCTCCAACTTCCCGGCCAGCTCCGGGCGGGTTGGGGGGGTCATAAAAATCTACCTCCGGCCCCCAAATGTCCAGCAACAGCCTAGCGCCCCCTCCCCACTTGACTTGGGCGAGCAGTCTTGGGGGACCCTCTGTGGTCTCATTGAGAGAACGGCTGCGGGTCCCCATCCGGTGTCCCGAGCCCAGCGGCTAGAAATTCGTAATAATGGCAATAATGGGGTTCATGAGGCATGAGGGGAGCGGCTCTCCTTTCTCGTTCGCGCTCTTTTTTTTCCCTCTTTTCTTTGAAAGTTGGATGTTGAAAAGTGGGAGGTTCGGGTGGGAGGAGAGAGAAATTGGGGGGGAGGAAGGGGAGAGAAATTGGGGGGAAGGGAGGAGGTTGCCAGAGGGAGGAGAGACAGAGACACTGAGACGGAGGAGGGGAGAGGGAGAGAGAAGGTGGGGGGCAGGAAAAGAAGAGAGGGAGTGAGAGACGCAGGAGAGAGGGAGGGAGAGAGCGGGAGGGAGGAGGGAGGGAGACCGAGGGAGGAGGCGGCTAGGAGCGCGCGCCGGCCGCGGCCGCGGGGCGGGGGGGGTTGGAAAAATGACTCAGTAAGTTCAGCGCGCCCGCTCCGGCCGGCCCTGCGCCTCCCGCCGCGCCCGGGATGTATTCGTCCCCGCTCTGCCTGACCCAGGTACGCCCCCCGCCCACGCCGCCCGCGCGCCGGGTCCCGCTTTCCCCGCATCCCGGCCTCGGAGTTTGGAAGCCGGAGGAGGCGGGACGAAAAAGGCACGCGTCCTCCGGCGGCCCTGGCCGGGATGCCCCCAACGCGGGCCAGGGGCCAGTGGGGGATGGGCTAGGCCGGGACCCCCCTCCTTCACCCCTGACACTCACCCCATTCCTGCTCCGCCGTTCGCCCCCTTCCCCACGACCAGGACCTCTCCCAGTCCCGGACGTTTGGGCGCGGGCTGCAGGTTCGCTCCCCGTGAGCTCCCCCACCCACTCGGGTAGGTCTGAGGGGCGCCCCCAAAGTTCCTCGTGAACCCCGTGCCTGGACCAGGGCCTGCCCCTAGGAGAAATTGAGGGAGTCCTGGCTGGCTCCTGGACTCTCCAGCACTCCTGATATGTTCCCCGGACCCTCTCCTCACCAAGGTTGCGCCCCGTCACTCCAGCCCCAGCCGCCTTTTCCCCCATTATTGGCCCACGTGTGCGTGGAGGGGGGAGGGGGCGCGTGAACTTGGAGGTACCAGCAGTAGGGGGAGGGGTGCTCGATTTCCCGTCTCTGTCTCCTGCTTCCCCCCACCAACCCCACGCCCCCACCACCATCCCGATGTTTTCGCCGCATCGATTTGGGGGTTATTGAGCCGCAGCCGGGAGGAGCCGAGAGGCCTGCGCTCCGGGGTCTGGCGGGCACTGCGGTGCTGCTCACGCCCTTGCCCGCCGGCACCTGTCCCTGCCCCCTCCCGTAGTCTCTCACCCTTGACCATGCTCCCAGGCTGCCGAGGCTGAGCCCTGGTGCAAAGATGGGGTGCAGGGACTGCCCTTCCTCAGGCCACACCCGGAGACGTCCCAGCTCCCTCCCAGACAACACCCACCCTTCTGTTGGTTCTACCTTCCAGTTTCACCCTTACCCCATGTGCTTGTGTGTCTGTAGGCCAGTGGAATTCTGGCCTCAGTTTCCCTTGAGGTGACATGGGGCTCAGGCTGTTTCTGGAGAGAGGGGCAGCATGGCCTCCAAACTGTGAAGTACAGTCCTGCATGTCCTGAGGAGCATTGTCTGGGAGAGCACAGATGGCCAGCTTAGGCCCCAAAGACTGTCAGTCTCTGCCAGGGGTCCCCCCATTCACGGTAGAATCTTTGTCACTGGCCTCCTCCAGCACCCGCTGAGGAGTTCCTGGCTCCACACAGAGACAGTGAAGGCTGGTGCTGGGGGTGGGGGTCTCAGTCTTGTCCTACCCACGACCTCCTGGATGACCTTGGGCAAGTCCCTGCCCCTCTCTAGGCCTCCATTTCCCTCTCCGAGCAACTTGTGGAGGGGGTCCCTAAAAGTAATCATCACTGGCCTGTCTCAGTCTCCCAGTCGTCCTGAAGTTCCCCAGTAACAGCTAGGGTTCTAGTCCAGTTGCTGCAGGACCTTAGGCCTCCCCGGCTCAGACCTTAGGGGGGTGGGTGGCCTGGGTGGCTCTGGGTGCCCCTGCCCCCTCTGCCCTTCTTGCGCACTCCCTAGATCCATTGTGGGGGGGACAGGCAGAGGAAGGCTATTCCAGGCGAGGAGGTTGGAAGGCCGCCTGTTGTCACTGCGCCCTGGAATTCCCCCATCAGGACGCTGGGAGACAGGCCTCTATCCACGTTGCAGAGAGGGGGTGGCGGGGAGAACCAGAGGCCTGGCATCACTCGTGAACTTGGACACTCACTGGGGCTGGCTTTACCCTGGAGCAGGGCAAGGATCAGCCAGGTGACTCGCGTGAAGTCAGAAAAAGCAGGTTGCTGGGCGCAAGGGACCGGGAGACAGGAGACAGAAACAGGCAGAGAGAACCAGAGCGCTCCCTGCTGGGGTGGGGAGGGAGCAACGCAGGGGCTTCCCCTCCTCTGTTTATTCTCCCATGTGCCCCCCACCCTGAAAACCACTCCCCCCACAACCTCCTTTCAAGCTTCCCCGCTCCAGCCCCAGTTTAATCCCTGCAGCCCCGTGCAGGCCCAGCATGGTCTGAAAGTCTCAAGCTGGGGACCTGGGGGGGACCCTGACCGCCCCTGCAGGACCCCCCTCTGCTGGCTGGCTCAGTCTCCCTAATCTGCCCGCACCCCATTTCTCTCTGTCTTTCTCTCCTCATCTCTCTGTCTTTATTTCTCCATCTCTGTCTCTCTCCGCCTCTCTCTCCCTGTCATTTCATCGCTTTCTTTCTCTGTCTCTGTTGTCTCTCTCTCCATCTCTACATCCCTGTTTCTCACCATCTTTTTCCCTTTGTGTGTCTGTCTCCTTGCCCATCTGTCTCTCCCCGTGTCTCTCTGTCTCTGGGCCTCCATCTCCCCTCTTGACTCGACTAATTTTACAACCTGAGTCCAGCCTAAAATAGCTCCATTTTAGCGGATCCGGCTGCTCTGACCCGGATCCTCCTAGGAGCTGAGACTGGTTTGGGGGTGCAGCTCCCGTGCAAGCTGCCCTGTGCCCCCGGCCCTGCCCACCTAGGGGTGGTGGTGGCCCTGAAGTATTCTGGGAGCCCTGTCCTTGTTTCAATGGTGGTGACTCAAGCGCTTTTTCACTTTTACTCTTAAGAGGAACTGTGTGGAGCAGCCGTTACTTCCATAAATCCTGCCGGCGGGAAGGCCGGCCTCCCTGTGCTTGCCCCACTCTGGGCCTCCCTCCCGGCCTCCCTTCTGCCTGCTGCCACCGCCACGTTAGTTATTCCGGGTTTGGGGCCAAATCTCTCTTGGCTGCAGTGCCCAGGATTCCCCGGGGCCACAGCCAGTGCCGCCGCCAGGGCCCCCTCCCTCATTCATTCATTCTTTCCTTCATCCCTTCACCTTGGTCCTTTTCAGGGAGGCCCTCCCTTTACTGCCATTTCTCCAGTGGGGAGACTGAGGCTGGGAGAGGGCCCCAACTTTTGTTTGTTTTCATAGAGCTTTATTAAGCACCTCCCATGGGGGTGGGGGGCGGACAAAATGCAGTGAGGTATAGGCCTGGTGTGAGGGTCAGGCTTCCCCAGCACCGCTGGGCTGGGAAGGGGGCCAAGACCAGAGAGGGCCAGGGCCTGCCTAGGGCAGCACAGCGGGGCTGGTGAGGCCTCTGCCACTTTGCACCAGGTGGGTGGCCAGACCTGAGCAGGTGGGGACTCCCTGTGCGCTCCCTACCCAGTGCCTGATGGCCTCTGGTCAGATCCTGTAAAAGGCACAACCTCGCTCCCTGTCTTTGTCTCTCTGTTTCTCTCCGTGTCTGTATCTCTCCCCCTCCCTTCTCTGCAGTGGAGGTGCCTCAGCACCAGGGCCCAGCGCCTTGTAAATCTTGAAGCTGGGATTCTGGCCTAGTCAGCGTTCTCGTTCTCTCTCTCTCTCTCTCTCTCTCTCTCTCTCTCTCTCTCTTTCTCTCTCTCCCTCCCTTCCTCCCTCCCCCTCCTCTCTCCCTCCCTCCCTCTCCGTCTCCCTTTCCCTCTGCCTCCCTCCCTCCTTCTGTCTTATCTGTGTCTCCCTCTGTCTGTCTCTTCTCTCTGAGTGAGCCTCCCTCCCTCCCTGTCTCATGACAAAATGGATGGGAAATGCTGAGCCCTGGGGCCCCCTGCCCCGCAGGCCCTGCTCCTTTCACACACCTGGGCGCACATTGCTCTGCGGTCAGTAGTGCAGCGGCGCCCCAGCGCTCCCCTGCGCACTCACCGCACCTATGAGGACAGAACCTCCCCCACCTCCGACGGGCCCTGAGGTGGGGGGTGGTAGCAGAAGCCCAGGGGGACCTCAGACCTGCATGCAGATTTCGCTCAGGAAGCTCAGAAGGGAGTTCTCCTTCCAGTGATGAGACTCTGAGGGGTGAGCTAGCCCTCCCATGCCTCCCTCTCCCCCCAGCGCAGCACAGTAACTGGCAACCCTCAGCTCCTCGGGCTGCCTGAGGGTCCAGGGAAGCAAGACGCCTCTGAGGTGCTGGGCACAGGGCCTGGCGCACAGTCGTGCTCATAAATATTTGTTGCGTGAATGGAGGACTAGATGGATGGTTTTGCCAGTTGAGAGAAGGCACTTGAATCTCTCTGAGCCCCAGCCTCTCCCTGTGTCCCCCGGAGGGGAGCATAATCATGCCTTCCTCCCATTCTCCACCCTCCACACAGTGACTGGTATACAGTAGACAACAAATAACTGTGGGTAGCAGCGACCCCAGAAAAACTGGAGCTTTGACCCACGAGGGTTTTTCTGTTGACCTTTCTTCCCAGGCCAGCCCTGCCCAGGGTCTTCCCAAGTTTGGCCAGACCAAGTGGGTGCCAGCAGCTTTTGTCGGCTGGGGTGTGTGGACGGGGCCAACAGGCAAAGGAGGAGATTGTTCCTTCACTGATCTGGATTCTGGGGACACAGCAGTGAACAAAACAGATCAAACCCACCTCCTAGAGGGGCTGCCGTCCAGGTGAGGGGATGGGCAGGAAACGAGGTGACAGCGCAGGACCAGACTGCTGCTTTGGCTGGAGTGGCCTCCTCGAGGAGGAGGAGGAGGAGGTGGTGGTAGCGCGGGGCCCAGGATGGAGCAGGGGAAGGGAGCCACACAGAATCCAGAGAGTCCATATGGAATGCAGAGTGGGCATCACCGGGGAGCCCCAAGGATGGGGTCAGACCATGTGTTCAAGGGGCCCAGCAGTGGGGCTGAGGAGTCAGGAGATGCAGTTATAGGGACTTAGGTTGAAGTCCCAGCTCTGTGCCTACCTGGCTGCGTGACTTTGGACCAGTGGCTTCAATGCCCAGTGCCTCAGTCTCTCCCTCCAGACAGTGGGCACAATAAATGCTCAGCCTCCAAAAGGCACAGCCTCACTCCTTGACTCTGTCTTGAACACCATGCCTCTGCCTCAGTCCCCATCCTCTTTCTGGGACACCAGGCAGAGAAGCCAGAGATCTGGGGCTCGCACTCACTGGTCGCTTTGGTAGGGGGTTTTCGCTCTCCGGAGTTTCCCAGAATTCCTCCCCATGCCCAGCCAGTGAGGCCTTGCACCGCCAGCCTCGGCCCTTCCCTGCCCTCACCTCTCCGCTCTCCCTTCTGTTCACTCTGCTGTAGCTTTACCTGCCTCCACGCCCGTTCCCACAAAACACTGAGCATGGTCCTGCCTCCAGACCTTTGCATGTGCTGGTGCTGTTTTTGCCACCTGGAAACCTGCTCTGGATTGTCATCTTTCAGGTCTCTGTTCAAGTGTCCTGTCCTATGAGAGACCCTCCCTACACACCCCCAGCTAAGAAACAACCCTTAAAGGATTCCTTGACCACCTCAAACTCCTTTCAATTTCTTCAAACCACTTTGTTCAACTTGACATTCTACTACATACTTGTTGATTTGTTTAATACCCATTCCTGCCCCAGATCAGAGTCTGGGTGAGGGCCCAACCCAGCTCACTACTGGGTCTCCAGCACTGTGCATGGGGTTGGCACACAGTAGGCACTCAGTAAATGTTTGTTGAACTACTGAATGACTCTCCCTCATTAGATAAGAGCTGTTCATAGGCCCTGATGCTCTGAGCATGCGGGGAGGTTTTGCCCTAGGTTAGGAGCTATAACTCTGGTGCCAGATGGGTCTGCATTCGTGTATGAGGACTGCTGTCTGCCACTTCACCTGGGCTTAACCTGGAGAAGGGGACGTTGAAATCAGCTTTGAAAGTTGCATAGAAGCTTGAAATAAGCACTTAGGAAGTGGAGAAGATAGTGATTACTGAGTGAATGAAGGAGAGAGAGAATCCTTCCTGGAACACTATTTGGAGGGAATTGGAGTTCCATGGGCTGGTTTGCTGCCCTGGACTGTGAGGGTACTAGGGACACTAGAGGGGCTCAGCCCAGTGCACGGTTGTCCCATCCATAGGGCCCAGCAAGGGCCTGGAACCAGGTGCCTACCTCCAAGCTGCCGCTGCTCCCTTTGGCTTGGAAGTCCCAGTGGGCCAAGTGCGGCTTCTGGGGAAGACCTAGCCTTGTTCCCCTCCCTCTGCTCTCTGGTTACCAGGGCAGTAGGCAAGCCCCCCAGTCCCCAACAGCCCACAGTGTCCCTTTCTGCCCATTGTACTAGATGAGAAACGGAGGCCCAAAGTGGAACAGTGATTTGTTCCTGGATCCTACAGAAGGTGAACACAGAGGCCGATGTCACCCAGCCTCATTCCCCTATAGCAGTGAGCGCCTCAGCCCTGGGACGTGGGGTTGGAGGAGGAGCAACAGCTGGACCAGACCCCACAGTTTGTGTGGTCCAAGCGAGGTCTGAGGGAACCCTGAGGAGAGCAGGAAAGGCTGCTGGAAGGAAGGAGCACTGAAAATAGGGCTTTGAGGGATGTGTAGGAGTGTGGGAGGGTTCTCAGCATCTAGCTTGCCTTGGCTGTTTCTTTTGCCCTGTCAGCCAGTGAGGGCATTGGAAGGCGCCTGCGGAAGAGGGCTTGATTGTTGCAGGTCTTAGGGACAAAGAGAGCGACTGGCCTGCCTCTCATCTGGCCTGACCTCCCAGGGAGGACAAGGGAGGATGGGGCAGCAGGTCCGTGACCCACTTACAGACTGTTTGTCTTCTTTCCCCCAGGACCAGCTAGGGTCACTGGTGACGTGGGCTCCCACCCCTGCTCGCCTCCCTGGCACCTTTCCCCAGAGAGGGGGTAGAGACGGGGGGAGGGAAGGAGCTAGAAGAGAGGTGGGGGCTTAGGGAGTAGGAGCCCAGACCAAGAAAAAAATTGGGGGAGAGGGGCTCAGAAGTGGGGAGGTGCTCAGAGAGAAAGGCGGTCAAGGAGAGGAAGAGTCTGGGGTCTGCACCTGCCCCTGCTGGCTGACACCCCAGCTGCTGCTTCCCAGCTCCCTCTTATCAGGGCCCCAGTAATCGCCAGAACTTGGGTGGCAGCCACAGCCCAACGTCCACACCGTTGCCCTGGCGTTCCCTCCACAGGGACAGCGACCTGTGCCTCTATCGATTCCCTGCTCCCCCCCCCCCCCCCCCCCCCCCGCTTCTCCAGCCAGATGGCCTGGGCACTTGTCCCGGCTCTGCTGACTGGCTGTGTGACCCTGGGCAAGTGGCTCCCCATCCCTGGGTCTGGCATGTCAAATGGCATTCAAGCACAGGACAGGCAACTCAGTTTGGATAGGGACTGGCAAGGGATGGGGCCCTTCGCCCTCCCTCTGCCTCAGCAGGTCAGCGGGGTGGGAGCATCAGAAAAGGGCCCAAGGTTCAGCTCCTGCCACAGTTGTTCCAGTGACTCATGCTTCGGAGCACATTGGAGTGGGGAACTGAGCGCACGAGTGGAGCCGAGCCCCGTTCCACCCCACCCTGATGAGGGCAGGAAGCTATTTTCAGAGACTCAGTAATAAGTGAAATCTGAGGTCATCCCGCTCCCCCCTCAGCACCCCATGGCCAGAGGTGGCTCAAAGGGAGAGAAGCACAGAGCAGGGAAGGTGTACCGGTCAGCGGGCGCCATGAGCATCCAGGTCTGGAGGTGGGACAGCCTGGCCACATCCGCCTAGAAAGCAAAGCAAGGGCCCACAGCCGCGTTTCTCGCCCTCTGAGGCCCCAGCCTTGCGGAGAGCGGGCTTTCCTGAGGAATGGGCCTGATGGCCGTCCGGGGCAGGGGTCAGGGGGAGCCCCGGGTTCTTATCCTCACACAGGCCCTGAGAGTGAGACCTAGGCCAGGTCTCCAGCCCTCTCGGAGCCTCAGTTTCCACATCATGCAATGTAGAGTGAAGCCTTAGGCCTTTTCCTGCCCTTCTGGAAGATAGTGAGCAACAACAACAATAATAATAGCACAGTGCAACCCTGGTTCTTGAACTTAATTCGCTCCAGAAGGCTGTTGGAAAAGTGATTTGTTTGAAAACTGAACCGTTTTTTTCCCCCATTGGAAATACAGTATCAGCATGAAAGAGTTGTTGAATTGAGAACAGAAGTTTTGTTCTACAGTCGAGACATTTTTTTCTGTGAACAACTTGGTCGAGAACCGAATTGTTCGAGATGGGAAACATTCAAGAACTGAGGTTTGACTGTAATAGCTAATGCAGCCTTTTGAGAACTGGGCACATAATGGGGTTCATAGGCCAGGAGGAGATAGCATCCCATTCAAGAAGCCTAGCACAGTCCAGGCGAGAGTGGGGAGGTGGGACTGTTTTTCTTCTGGCTTCCTTTCTCCTTGAATGTCTCACTCTTGAGGCTGAGAAACCAGGTCCCGATGTTCTGCAAACTGTTTCCCTTGCTAGAAAACGGAGAGAATGACGCAGCCCTCCCACCCCCTAAGAAGGGGATGGGGCTTCCCATGTGGCTATCCAGGGGGCCCCACTGGGGCTGCTGCTTTCATAGGGGGAGTCAGATGGGTGTGGGTTCCAGCCAAAGCCCCTCAGGACTGGGCCCCCTCTTAGGACCTCTGTTTCCTTATTGTGGGCCCAGCAACACCAGTTAGGTACAATGGGAGGGAGATGTTGAAGTCACAGCTCTGGCTAGGTCTCAGCTTCCCCAGGCCTCAGTTGTTCCCTCTGTGGAATGGGTCTCTGGGGGACCGGGTGAGGCAAACTGGCCCTCAGGGGCCCCTCTCTCTAGCTCTGAACCTCCAGGGCTGAGCCCCCTGTCTGTAGTACATGCCAACCTGCTGCCTCGGGCCTCAGCTTTCCTGGCCCCTGAATGGGTCTGTGCTGGAGGCCCTGTCCTTCCATCAGCCCCTGACATCCAGGGGTCCTGGTTGTGGTCTGTGCGCCTCAGCCAGTCCTGTCTGTACATGTGAGCTTTAAAAGCAGCCCCTTGTCCTCATTTTTTGCATCGGTGCCAAGGACCGGTAGGGGCAGCCCTAGACCCCCATCTGTGTCAGCTTCCTCTGCTGAGCACTTGGGTCTGAGAAAGGAGCCCCAGGCACTGTTCTGCGGTCACTGAGCACCCACTGTCTGTGTGCTCAGTCCTGCTCTCAGCATTAGAGCTCACACACAGCGTGGGGGCCCAGTGCCAGCCATCTGTTGTTGTCGATAAAGTTTTATTGGAATACCACTGTGCCAGTCATTGACATCTCACCTAGGTTGCACTCAACAGTGCAGAATGGAGTCGCAGCAATGAAAATATTCACTACCTGGTTCTTTATGGTACTTTCAAACCTCAGTTTTAGAAGGAAGAGAATGGATCCATGATACCCTCATGGTCCTGGTCTCAGTTTTTCCCGTCTGTATAATGGGGCTCCATCAGCCTCCACCTGGAACCCTCAGCGTGTCCTGTCTTGGGGGTCAAGGCAGTCCTCCATCAATGTCTTCTTTGACCTGGGCTTCCTGCCTAATCCAAGCCTCAATTTCCCCATATGGGCAATGGGTTTTCACCTGTCCCCCAGGAACTTCTGCCGAGTCCCTTCCGCTTTCCTGAGGAGGCGGAGGGATCTGCAGTGGCCTCCTGCCCACATCTGCCTGACCCTTCCCACTTACTGAGTTCCTGGGGTCCCCGGGCTTCAGTCTTCTGGCCTGGGCAATGGGTCTCCTTCCCCAGCGCCTCCTGACTTCCCACCTCTCCCGCCCGCCCGCAGGATGAGTTCCACCCATTCATCGAGGCGCTGCTGCCTCACGTGCGCGCCTTCGCCTATACGTGGTTCAACCTGCAGGCGCGGAAGCGCAAATACTTCAAGAAGCACGAGAAGCGGATGTCCAAGGACGAGGAGCGCGCAGTGAAGGATGAGCTGCTGGGGGAGAAGGCCGAGGTGAAGCAGAAGTGGGCATCGCGGCTGCTGGCCAAGCTGCGCAAGGACATCCGGCCCGAGTGCCGCGAGGACTTCGTGTTGGCCATCACCGGCAAGAAGGCACCGGGCTGCGTGCTCTCCAACCCTGACCAGAAGGGCAAGATGCGCCGCATCGACTGCCTGCGCCAGGCCGATAAGGTGTGGCGCCTGGACCTGGTCATGGTCATCCTCTTCAAGGGCATCCCCCTGGAGAGCACTGACGGTGAGCGCCTGGTCAAGGCGGCACAGTGCGGCCACCCAGTGCTCTGTGTGCAGCCGCACCACATCGGAGTGGCAGTCAAGGAGCTTGACCTCTACCTGGCCTACTTCGTGCGGGAGAGAGGTAAGCTGGGAGGAAGTGCGATGCACAGGTGTTCAAGGAGGAAGGTGGGCTCTTGTGCGGTTGCAGGGTCTGAGGGAGGAGGCAGCATACCTGAAGTCAGATGTGGGAGGTGGGTCCAAGCGTTGTCCAAGGGAGGCGGCAGGCCAAGGGGTAGGGGACCCATGGGAGGTCCCAGGGGGTTGGTGGGAACAGGGATGAGGCCAGGAGAGAGACTGACTGAGGGGAGACAGGCAGATGAAAGATGAATAATCTCATTTCTGGGGAGAGCTGGTAGAGTACTGGAGCTGTATGCTGTGAAGACTGGTTGGTTGAGACTCTCAGACCCCCAGCAGAGGCTTGATGGGGCACACATTTGTGTTAGGAGTGGGAAGCTGGGGTGCTGTGTGACTCTGGCTAGGTCACCACCCTCTCTGGTCCCCAGTGTCCCCAGATGCAGCCCTTCTGCCTGGATGTTTGCTGGTTCTGTGGTCAAATGCCTGAGGTTGAAATCAACAGGGTTTTTGGGGGGGGGGGCGGTAAATCCATACCAGCTTCCTGGAAGAGGAGGTGTGGCTGAACTGAGCTCTGTGGGATGGCTGGGCATTGACTGGTGTGGAGGTAGCCCAGGTGGTCAGCAGCCTAGGTGGAAATATGGAGGCCAGATGCGTGGTCCAGCCTCTCGAGGTCACAGGTGCTGGTGGCTAAAGCCAGGGCCACTGTTTCCTGCCTGTGTGTCTGTGTTCCAAATGCAGCCCTTGTGTGACTTTAGACATATCATTGTATTGTGCCTCAGTTTCCCCCTCTGTACAAAGGGGATAATGGCCATGTTGATTCTTTGCAATGGTACCCTTAGATGAGGCTGTGGAGCTTGGAGTCTCCAGAGTGTGTAGGAGGAAGAGCCAGGCAGAATTTCCTAGTCTTGACCTTGATTTCTTGACCTTGACCCCACCTGCCCCCTGCCCCACCTCCACCCAATTAGCCACAAGCCCACTGGGGCTGCCAGTGAAGCAGTGTTGGGGGGGAGCGTGGAGGCACAGAAGTAGAGGAAGTGACTGTCTCAGGCAGGGGGCAGGGGGCAGGGGCTGCCTTGGCTCATTACCATGCAGGTCCAGGTCTCCCCCTCCACATTCATCCTCTGCACCCAACCCCACCCCCACCTCCTCCGAGCTGAGCTGATAAAATTTTGAAGCAGAGTTTTCTGCCAGCGTCAGCACAATCTCCGGGCGCCTCCCCTCCCCCACATGCCCCCCTCCCCCCTCAGCTCAGCAGGCAAGCTAGGCCTCCAGGCCTCCCCAGACACCTTCAAGCCCCACCGCTAGCCTTTGCCGGCCAGTCTGGTCAACCTCTCTGAATGAGGGCCAGGAAAGGTCAAGGCTGCACCCTCCCCTGCTTCCAGCCCACTCCATCATCCCAGGGGAATCCCTGCTCACACTGGGCCCAGCTGACCCAGCCCCAGCTGGCCTGGAGTGAGGGCGGCGTGTGAGAGCTGGGCCTGGATTCCAGCCCTCGCTCGGCTGCCTGTTGCCGGCTCATCCGGACAAGTTGCTCAACTTCTCTGGGCCTCCTTTTCTTGTCTGTCAATTGGGAAGCTGAAAAATAGCTGCCTGTAGGACCATTGGGTGCCTGTGGTTGTTGAGGCAAGTGCCAGGCACAGGGCTAGGGCTCCACGGATGGCTATTGTACACCTTCATTAGGATTACAGTTTCCCCCCTTCAGGCTTTTGCCTGTGCTGTTCCCTCTGGCTGGAATGCCTTTCCCATATGGAAAACTCCTACTTATGCTTCAAAACGCCAAGCCCTAGCTCCACTTTCTCTCTGTCAGGCATTGTTTTCAGAGGGTTCAGCAATTTTTTTCCCCGTTCTCACAGCAGCCCTATGAGTCAGGAATCATTCTTGTACTTGTTTCACAGAAAAGGAAACAGAAGCCCAAAGAAGGGACTGCCTGAGGTTACACAGCCAAGAGAGGACAGAGTGGGATTTGGACGCAGCTGGCTTCTGAGCCAACGCCCCCGACCCCGCTGCCCTGCCTCCAGCCTTCCACACCCAGTGGCAGCAAGGGATTTAGGGAAATGGTCGTTTGCAATATGGGCAGCCAGTCAGCATGGCCGGGCCACCTCCAGGCTGCGTCTGTGTTCTAGGCTTCCGGCAGCCAAGGCCTCCTCCAGGGTGCCCGGACCAAGGCTGCCCTCCAGGACCTCCGGCTGAGCCCTAGCTCCCTGACGTTCATCCCAGGACCCTTGTCCTCATTCTGGGCCAGAGTTAAGTCTGTTCTTGGCCAGGCTGATGTCAGTCCAGCGGCAGAGAGAACGCACCACCACCTCCCCGCTCCCCGCCTGTGGGTTCCAGGGCTGGAGGGGGTCGGGTCCCAACCTGGGCCAGAACACAGTGTCCACTTGACTCAGTCTTACTGGGAGGCGTGGAATTGGTGAGGGGGTAAGGACAGGCCTCTTTTGGCCTCTGGATGTTGAGGGGAGCACCTGCCATGCAGCTCAAGGAGGGACCACCTCTGACCTCAGGACCGGGGCCTCAGAACTGACAGAAGGACAGACCCACTCACAGGGACGCAGACGGAGACACGAAGAGACACAGAGACTCGGAGCCGCCTCACACTCAGCCCTTCCCTGCCCTTGGACGAGGCCGGCTCTCCCCACCCCCAGCCTCACCCCCTCTCCCAGGGGGCGTCAGGTGGATTGGTGGGGCCACGCCCCAAAGTGGAATCCAAGGCCTCCACCCTTGGGTTTATTTTGGGGGTACAGGGTGGGGACTAGCCATGAGAAGGTCCCTTCACTACTGGGGCTCTCAGAGCCTAGCGCACCTCTTGGGGCCGAATTTGGCTGCCCCAGGCATCCATCCGGCGCCACTGTGGCCATAGGAGCCTGGTTCCAGGGTTGGACACAGTGTGTGCCCCATGGCCAACCTAGGGGACCGCTGGCGGTGCTGTGGGGAAGGGGTGATGTGCTTCCCCTTGGGGACAGAGTGGGATTTGGGCGCAGCTGGCTTCTGAGCCAACGCCCCCCACCCCGCTGCCCTGCCTCCAGCCTTCCCCCCAATGAGTGCACTTTGGGTGGGGGTGCTGTGAGCAGGAGATGAAGAAGCTAACAATTCACAGTTAAATTAATAAATGTGATGTCAGGGAAACAAAGCAGGGGAGGGGTGTGGAGAGGGGCCAGGAGAGTGCACTCTAAACAGGAAGGAACACTTGGAGGAGGTGACTTCTGAGATGAGGCCTGAAGGAATTGAAGGAGGCGTGGAGGGACTGAATGAGAATGCACGAGGCAGGGGCACAGCTAGTGCAAAGGCCCTGGGGCTGGACTGGCCCAGAGGCTGCAAGGTGTATGGGAGAGGGAGGTGATGAGGGTGGTGTGGAGGCCAGGAGTGGGTGAGCCTGGCGCTCTTCGACCTGCCTTGCATCTGGGAAGGCGCCTGGAGGAAACAGGGCCCAGAGAGAGAAGCCAGCCCTGAAGCCCAGCCAGGCTTCCCTGCCCCCTCTGGCGGCCCGAGAAACCTGAGGCTGGCGGGCGCAGTGCCAGGGGTGGGCAGGGGAGGGGCTGCCAGGCCCGCCCGCTCCAGGCAGCTGCCAGCCCGCCCCAGCCTCCAGCCCAGCTGGTGCCCATTTGCTGACGCTGCTGTGGGCCGGACCTCCTTCTCCCGCCTCATGCGGTGCCAATCTCCCTGAATCGTGCTGTGGGCAGGGGCCAGCTTGGGAGGCTCAGAGGGGAGAGGGGCTGCCCAGGGCGCCCCAAGGAGGGGGCAGGAGAAACTGGGGGGTCCCCAACCTCTTCTGGATGGAACCAGGAAGCAATAACTACAAAGTGAACAGTAACTGTGAACACATATTGAATGCCCACTGTGAGCCCTGTTCTGAGTCCGTTCCACATCTCGACCAGTTTAACTCTCTACCACCCTGGAGGGGAGGGACCTTCTCCGTCGTTTTTCTAGGAGGAAACAGAGGTTCAGAGATGGTCAGGCACTTGCCCAAAGTCACACAGATCGTAAGAGGCAAAGCAGAATTAGAACCCATGGATTTTGAGTCCTCAAAACTCCTAAAAGAAAAAAACTAAGAAACACTTCCGAGGTTGTCAGGTAGCACCCACACCCTCCCAGTTGTACGGATGATAAAAAGGGCAGGTGCTGAGCACCTAGTGGATAAATGAGAGAGGAGGGGTGAACCATATTTAAGTGCCTGCTGTGCCCAAACCTGGGGCCAAGGTCTCCATAAAGGGTAGCCTGGGCTGGGATGGCAGGAGACAGGGCCTCAGCCTGGAGCGAGGGGGCCTGGGTCAGCCACAGCTCTGCCTCTGGCTTGCTGTGTGACTTAAGGCAAAGACCTGCCCTCTCTGGTCTAGCGTTGGAGGTAGCGGAGAGCTTGGAGCCGGAAGGTAGGGCCTGTGGGCCGCAGAGAGAAGCGAGCAGGCTCTGACCAAGGGTCCCCTTGTATTCTGGTACCCATTAATCTTCATCTCAACATTGGGTGCTGTGCTGGGGAGGCAAAGGGTGAACAGGAGGGCGCATGAGGGTGCCTGTTTCTTTGTATAGAGGACACAGTTCATGCCCATATTTGCTCCAGGCTGTGCAAGATACATCCTTCTCTCTGAGCCTCAGTTTTTCCATCTGTAAAATGGAGTGGACACAAACTGTTCACTGAATTGAGGGGGTGAGTCAGTGATTCCAAAACAGCGCACAGGAGGCGTAAATGCTCGGTCCCTTCCTGGATCCTCTCCCCAGAGGGGAGACTCCAGTTCTGCTCTGAGACCCTGAGCCTCATTCTACCCGCAGTGAACCCACAGGGGCACCTGTGACCCAGGACAGCTACCTTGTTGCCTCTCCAGGCCTCTGGGTGGTGAAGGGGTGAGGGGCTCCCAGCAGCCTGGATCTTCCCAGGGCCAGGCAGCCAGGTGTGCCAGCTGCCTCTCTGCGCAAGGAAGGTGGCTGCACGAGTGTGAAGCCCAGACGCCAGCTGACAGCGTATTTATAGCGATGGCGCGAGGCCTCTGGGTTCATGGTTAATGGCCAAGAGGGACT